TATAGGGGTTGTGGAGATTACGTTTTTGATTGAGATCATGAAGCGATTGATGTTACACCACCACCTTTGGAAACCTGGAAGCAGTGGACGGCCGTTTCGTCCTATTGTTGGACTCCCCGGCAGTGCGCATCCACGATCCCTCCCGCAGGATTCGAACCCAGGGCCTTCGGTCTCGCGCGCGAACGCCTAACCAACTAGACCACTGAGCCGGCATCCAATGGTGATAGGGTCTAACATCAACCAATCCACGAAATTTCGCGACCAACTTCCATTGTACTGAGGTAGATACCTGTCTCTACCCGACATGGATTAGCTCCACTGATCACGGCTTCTCACTAGAACTCTGAGAATTCCCTCACGAAGCCAGTCATTAGTGAGTACATGTTGATTACTAGTATAGGGGTTGTGGAGATTATTACGATTCTGATTGAGATCATGAACCGATTGAAGTTGATGGTTAAGCGTTTGCGCACGGGACCGAACGCCCTAGGTTCGAATCCTGCGAGCGGGATCGTGGATGCGTACTGCTGAGGAGTCCCACAATAGGACGAAACGGCCGTCCACTGCTTCCAGGTTTCCAAAGGTGGTGGTCTAACATCAATCGCTTCACGATCTCAATCAAAAATGTAATGTCTATTAAGTATGTATTCTGAAGGACAGAAATTAAAAATAGTTGGTGATTTTAAGATACTCATTTCATTTCCATATCAGTTTGACTAGCTATTGTTTTTTTAAATATTATTTGGATAAGTGGCTGTTTTAATCTTCCATCTATATTTACTTAGTCAGTCAGACAGTTATAGTCACTTTTAATATATTTATTTATACACATAGATATCGACGTCTGAAACAAATTGTCACTTCAATCTTTTTATTCACTCTAAGAATATTATTCAACCGATTAATTAACCAAACCCCTAAAATCATTAACAAAATCTTAGTTTGAAACAAACATTGCGAAGCAAGTTTCTGTGGTTGAATTATTTATAATAATTCCAATTTCCTTAGGTTGGAGTCATTCTGCAGGAATTGGTATTTCAGAGTTGCTCGTTCACTAAACATATTAAGTTTCATATATGGCTCATTGATACTCCGAAAGGAAAACTAGTCGATTAGTTAATACTCGCGTGCTATTCGTATTGTTGTGTGGCGTAACTATGGAGACTTTCGACGCTTATTCTAACATTAGTTTTAACAGATATTGCTAGGTGACAACACTCAGTCAAGGATCATGGTCATACCTGGGTAAAATTCATTTGACATTCTTCTTTCCTTAGTGGTCAATGTAATAGTTTAACGTTGAACTCTCTACGTCTGCTCGAACATATTACTTCTGTCAACAATTATCATCTTCCTTGTTTGTGTTCAGGATATCTTGAAGCAGCCAGATACCAAGATTGTCAAATTCTGATTTTCATTCTATTATTCACTCTCCCTCACCCCATGTTGACCATATTCATTCTGATCATTTATCTCATAATTTCATTTCACTTATAAAATGATTCAAGTTAACACTTCATATGAGTCAGCCCTCACACTGACGATTTGATTTTGTATGACAAACAACGATTCTTGATTCGCATATTACAATTTTAAATGATGTACTGTGTCTTAAATCTGGCCAACTTTATGGATTATTAATTTGCATTTATGAATGCAGAACCCGATGAGAAATTTTTGAAAAAATATTCTTCGTTCATATATTTGCATTTTATTCCACAAAATTAATGAGACTGGGAAGGGAACAACTAGACTGCTCACACTTTACTGCTCAAAATAGAAAGAAAGTTTACGACAATTCAATTAATAAGCAACGAAGGATAAATGTTTATTAATCGATAGTTTAGCTGAATGATCAATGGTGCCTGAAATAACACTACTAAAAAAATTAGAAAAATATTTGAAATGTCCTGCAATTCAGTTAGTTCAGCTGAATGAAAGGCTACACCTGCACTACGATTACGCCATACTTTATCCCATTTACTAAATTTAGAATTTGTATTTGAATAATTAAGTGAGATTAATCATCTTCAAATAATAGTCTTACAAATATTACTTAGTCCAGTAGACGATTGATAGATATGGCTCTAGTTATAAGCGATCACTGTGAAAGAAACCGTTTACTATACATATACTGGGACAGAAAACCACCGTAAGACAATTCCTGAATATTAATTGTTCATCATGCACATTGAGGCTTTCTGCATACCCTAAGATAAATTCAGTCCGTAAAGTGTTCGTTTCATCAGAGCATGTATGATAATTAGAAATATTTCGGATTCCCACAGTAGTGCGATTTACGGCAAGTAGAACAAGATGAATACAAATGAACGTATTATATTTAGAATCCGTAATCTGCCTGAAAATCAAATGCACATGAATCAATAATTTGTTCAAATACTATATCGTAATAAGGTTTTTTTATTATCCCTCAAAGTTATCTTAAAATCAGGTATCTACTGAAACATCTTGTATGAAAACGTTGAAGTTTAACAAACTATATACATTTGCATTTCATGATCTTATGATACATGTTCGTCGTGTCCACTATTTTTATATCCCCGTTTCTCTGTGTAATTTTACATGAAATATCTTGTTAATCATCATCTCTTTTATCATTAGCCTATATTATTACAACATAGCCAAATTTTTAGTATTTGGCTTAACTGTCATACTCAATATATTTAAGAATGTTCTGTTACCGATTTGAGCTCAAAAAAGGTCCAGTTAAACCAATTATACTGTTGTATAATGAGTATTTTTTAAAAGTGGTGATATATAACTGTTTAAAAATGCCGATAGGGTTACCAAATTATTGATAAAAACTAATAGCAATTGCTACCATTACGAATTGAAGTTTATTCAAATAGAAAGAGATTAACCCTTTTGTGAAACTGGAACCTATCGCAGAACAAATCCTAAAATTTTGAAGAAAATCGCCAAGAATTCAAATCGGTCAACTTTATAAGAGTTAATACTAAGACAATAGGGCTTAAAAAACAAAGTAATTTTAGGAGAGAAACTGAAGCCAACGAAACACATTCGATTCCGATAAGCTACCGAATGTTCAGTAAAGTTCACTATGATCTTGAGTTATTTACACTACCTATCACAATATACTTTGATCGACAAATCCCAACACTAGGAATGAGATAACAAATGTTGCATCGAAATTGTCAACTTTTAATATTTTTGATTCAGTTACATTTGCATTAAAAAAGAAAACTCGTGATATTTCTCTCATTAATTAAAACAAGCTTGTAAAAACGTTTGAAGACAGTGTTCAAAATTTATCCTGTAATGAATGACATAAATCAAAATCTAAAATTCTGAACTGTGAAAGTGAATTTAGTGAATGGAAAGAAATATCATTATCGTGGAATATTATACTGACATATATAAGAAAGGAAGATCAGTGAATTCTGAAACAGTGACATGAAGCTAATGTCCTTTTTGTAAGACATGGAAACCCTAGATTTGATCTCTGTCGAGGTCATCAATGCGTCCCATCATATATCCTCAAACTACAACAAAACATTTATTATTATTATTATTATTATTGTTATCATCATTATTAATGGCTTTATTCAATATTATATTTTAGTGGAATGTTCAATCAGCACTAGTCGATACTTGAAGAATACTCTAGAATCTTCTCATGTAAAAACTATAAATGTGCTAACGTTTTCCGTATTGTGCTTCCTTACTTGCTTCTTACTTCCATGTAACTTTGTTATTTGGAATATAATCTCTTTCCTGTTCAACCGTGTTCTGATTTGGGACTTGTTGAGTGAATCGGTGTCCGAGAATACTAAGCAATAGGAATAGCTGGATCATAACTGTAAAAAGGAAATTATAAAAACAGGTTATTAACTAGGTTGACTCTATCAACCTCTTTGTCAAAGAGTATATTTGCTAGGTAAGGTATTCTAGGACTTTTATACTTTTGTATGAGTGCATGAATTTCAGTGTAATTACGCCTCGTTCTATCAGAAGATATACAAGGAGAAAGATATGAGTGAATGGGATGATTAATATCTGGTAAAAAACACCTGCCAGGAGTTTGCATGACTTTAGATGTCTGTCCACAACCATATTAATTATGACTTCGAAAGACTCACCTTCAGCACTCTCCTCAATACAGCAAAGTCTTTTTTCTCAAAAGCCCGGAAAAGAATAATGGAGAACAGTAAAGAATAATAGGTAATATACAAATTATGACAAATTATAAGAGTAAGTGTCGAATAATCCTAAAAGCACGCAACCTCTTTATATAGTAAGTTAGACAGTAAATTTTCTTCGATAACAGTAAAACAAGAGAGATTAAAGGAAAATGTAACTCCAAGATAATTAACCTTCGACACTATGTTTATTTACTGTATCATTTACTCTCTAATTTTCAGTTGATTTCTGAATGATCCCAGATCATAACAAAATCTTCCATAAATATACTTGGACCTCATATCTATAATTCTTTTTAATGGTATCAATATAAACCAAAAGCTAGAATTTTTTTACAATAAAATTCATTCCAATTAAGAAATTAAAACAATCCATTAAATTATTGTTTGAGTTCATGAACCGATTGATGTTAGATCACCGTTAGAAACCTGGAAGCACTGGACGGCCATTTCGTCCTATTGCGCAACACCTCGGCAGTGCGCAGACAAGATCCTGCTCGCAGGATTTGAACACAGTGTCTTCTGTCTCGCTCGCGAACGTTTCACCTATTATTATTATTCCACCAATCAATGGAAACCTTCAATAAATAACAACCAATCAAAAAGAAGTATTGAATGACAAATAAAATAGAAACCAAATCAAAATTCATTCTATACTTTAATACATATTTTCATCATTTTCCTCTCCTTTTTTTCAAAAAAGAAAGAAAAAACTAACAAAATAATTCTTTACACCAATTTTTTTAAATTGAGAGAAAACAATCAAATAATTAATCAATTAATTGATTTTTTAAAAATTATTATTTCACATTATAATCAATGTGTGATTATCAAAGTGGATTTATTTATCATTATCAAAATATTACTGACATTCCTACAAAAATTGATATAATTATTATTATATTTTCATGTTATATAATACTGATAAATCAATTTATATTATTTTTATTATTTCAAGCTTATTTATTATCATCATCACAATTTGTAAATATTTTAATTATGATTCAAATAATATTTGATACATTTGTTTGTATTTCACAAATTGGTAATAAATTTTGTCCATTTTTTTTAATTACATCAGAAATGTGGATCAATATATTAGGTTGTCATATATGGACAAGTGAATTTTTAAATAGTTTATTTAATACATTTACTAGACAAACAATTATTACAATGATTATTGAACATTATTTATCGATTTATATACCAAATTTAAATTTATTAAATTATCCTAAATTATTAGGTGGTATTTATTGTTTATTAGTAGTATATAATATAATTTCTAATTTATATTTAATTCTTTTAGTTAAATTAGATCAAACTGGTCAATGTATAATTATTTCAAAAATGTTAATCAATAGTAGTGATCGATTAGAATTAATTATTTTCAATTATATTTCATTGATACTTGGTGATATTATACCATTTATAGTGATAACTATTATCATTATATTAATAATATTACATCATTATAAAATTAAATTGATTACAAAAGATGAAAATCAAATGAAACCATTAGAAAATTATTTAACATTATTATTAATTATTTGGTGTTTACCAGAAATTTTAATTACAATATGTGATATATGTCAACATGTATGTGAAACATATATAGAATATGAAATGATATGTGATATAACACATCATTGTTTAGAATTATTACGTTCAATTACATTTATATTACATTCAATGAGTTTATTTATTTTTTTAAAACCAATAAGAATTGAAGCTTTAAAAACATTCAATAATATTTTAAAATTTTTTAAAAAAATATTTTCATTTTTCTAAAATTTATAATTTCTTAATAAATACTATTTTCAATGGTTAAGATCATGAATCAATTGAAACTAGACCACCATGAAAAATCTGGAAGCACTAGGCGGCCATTTCGTCGTATTGTGGTGGATGTATCACTCAATTTCGTGGATTAGTTGAAGCAAAACATTAACACCGTTGGATGCCGGCCAGCTCGGTGGTCTAATAGTTAAATGCTCGCTCGCGAAATCAGTAGGTCCTGGGTTCGAATCTCACAGGAGGCGAGGTTGTGCATGCGCACCGCTGAGGAGTCTCACTATAGGACGAAACGGCCATTCAGTGCTTCCAGGTTTTCCATGGTGGGCTAGCTTTAACTGACTCATAAGCTTAACCATTGAAATTACTATCATATCCACAAAAACCCATAAAATATTATTTTATTGTGTATTTTTTCCAAATTTGTCAATTTACATTTTATTATGAAATATTGATTCAAAAGTTTATTATTCTTATTATATTTGTTAATACATTCTCAATTAGTACCATTTATATGTTCTGTTTACTCATGTGATCCATTTTATTGGTATCAATAACTGATAAATTACTTTGATTAGATTGATATTTTTATGTATACTTATTAATATTATTGTATATTAGGATAATTTCTAACAAGAATTTAATTAAAAACAATACTATTCTCGTATATTTGTTGTTTGTAATAATGAATATCTTATTTTGTGTATACATATTAATCCCTTTAATAATTTGCTTAATTTCAGTAGAATCAATATTGAAATAAAATTTACTGTCTTTTTATTCATTATGTATTCTAACAGTCTAGTGTGATCTTACAATTTGAAGAAAGAAAAAAATTCTTGCAATTCATTATATATTTAAATAGTTCGAAATGTAACCGGAACTTCCATCATAGTTGGTTTATTTTCATTTATTATCTTTATAAGAAATGAGAGGTGATTAAACTAGAATTAATGTATCAAATATACTATATGATAATTAAAAAAAGAACGTCTAATTGAATCTTGTCTTAAATTTCTACTGATTAGGGTTTAAAAATTATATCTAATGCGAATTTATAGATTGCTTTAAGTTTCCATAGTTAGAATAAATAAAAGAGAGATGTCTGAAGCTACACCGTATTTCGTCATACTGAGAATTCCTTGATGTTATCAAATTTATGTTAGTGAATAAGACCGATATTAAAATTGTAAATGGATTTATTTACTTAATACGCTTCTGCATCGACCTATTTGCTAGACAATTTATAATATATATATATATTTGAGAGAGAAAAACATGTAAGTTAATGAACCGATCACTTTCCACTGAAATTTGTTAACAAACTGTACACTTGTAAATGTATACACCTACTCTTATGGAACAATGCACAATGACCGTACTGACATCATAATTTCAACTGTAATATGAGAACATATTTTAGTGTGATGGTATTAAGATGACAGGGAGATGGTTGGCAGTTCTGTCCTGCAACAGATAATCGACGCTACACCCTCCATCAATGCATAATTTGATCTTAATGTAGTTTACAGAATTCGTCCAGATCAACTAACATTTCTTTGCATGCAATTCATTAAAACAGTAGAAGCTACTCACATCTTCCAAATGAAATATTAACTGAACAAAAGAAGCATATCTTCTCATTGCCTATACCATGTCCTAAACTATCATTATTATTATTGTTATTGTTATTACTGGAGGTATCAGTAGCAGTAGCAGTAGTATCACTATTATTATTGTTAATACTATTTTACTTTCAGTTCATTACATTGATTTTGCATTTGAAAATATCTGTCTCTCTCCACGTATCTCTCACATTCACATCATTTTACTGGTGTATATTTCTCATATCATTGTATTTCATTGAACCCTCCTAATACCTATAATTCATGTGACGAAAACATTTTAATTATTTTACTGTAATCAAATTATGTTCCAATGTGAGTTTAATAATTTTATACACCTTCTTATTTGCACGAAAACAACATGTTATTTTAACTATTTACTCTATAGAATCTTTTATTACAATCTTTCCGTGATCTCATTATATCAGTACATTATTAACATGTTCTCACAGAATTAATACCTGAAATTTCTTATGTATATATGTATACATATGTATACAATCGTACACGTTTATAATAAATTCTTTGATAAGCGATCCATTTACTGAAGTCCTTATTCTTGTCATATTTTACAGATCTTAATTGTTGTTGATTTATAAAGTAAATGATGAATTTGTCAAACTTCCTTACAAAATCTTGTCACGTTAATTCTTTTTTAGAATATGGTATTATTTGTTATCTTGTAATTTATATATTTTATTACACTTTGTAAACTCTTTGAATGTTTATTTAATGTTCAATTAATAATCAATCAAAGGATCTTTATATGTTCAGCTTATATATACAGATATTTAAGATACATTATAGAAATGTTCATTATTTTAAGTAAGTTGTCAAATTTTTCATAGTCTTATATATGTAATCTAATAGTTGAGTTCATGAGTCAACTAAAGATAGACCACCATAGATAACCTTGCAAGTTGAAAGTGGTATTTCCAAATAATTTTATAGACTAAAAAGTTGAAATAGTTTTCTACCCGTTAATGATTCGTATTATCAATAACTAATAAATGACAATATCATATAAGTCATACTCATCAAAATATTTGCAATTTTCAAACATTTATACTCATAGGTATCATTACCAAGGCTTGACCTGATAATTTCGAATACATTGAGCATTGGTTAGATTGTTATTAATAAATTAATATATATGAGTAGAAAAAAAATAGATTTTCTGACATTTTGTGACTCAGTGTAAGCCACTTCTTCAGAGATTATTACAAATATTTTATTAGTTGAGATCATGAGTCAATTAAAACTAAACCGCCATGGAAAACCTGAATGCACTGTACGGCCATTTTGTTATAGTATGGGCCTCTTCAGCAATGCGCATCCACGATCCCACCTCGCGAGATTTCTGACCCAGATCTATCGGTCTCGCGCGTGAATGCTTAACCTCTAGACTACTGGGCTGGCATCCAACGGTGTGAATGTCTAACTTCAACTATTCCACAAAATCGAGCGAAACATCCATCATTGTCTTCAGTGATTTACTACCCCACAACAGACCCGGCTGAACTCAGTTGGTCACCGCTTTCCACAATAGGACGAAACAGCCGTCCAATTCTTCCAGGTTTTCCATGGTGGTCTAAGTTTAATGAATTCATGATCTTAACTATTAAAAATACTATAATATCCAAAAAACAACTCTTCTGATGATACAAATATAGTAATTTGTTTATACTTACACTTATATTCAGAGACTCTTCAATATTTGAAATGATTTAAAAATCTCCGGATGTCAATCTTACAGGCAATAAAATTAAGATCTACTTTAAGGTGTCAAGATGATTAGTTACTTCTTTGCAGTACTTAAAAATAAATCAACTTTTTATCAACAAAAAAATATTTTTTTATTCGGAACTTATTTTAATTTAACTATACATCTGATTTATACATAATTTTTCGAAGTAATAATAAAGCACAAAGAATATGAAGAGTTTGACAAACAAAAACGTCAATTAAAAAAAACCTTGGTATTTAGTACGATTATTTATTCAAATAACCATTCGGCATATTGAATGTTTAATAAAATAAACGTATTTTTCAAAGGGTTTACGCTATAAAAGTTGAAGATTTTTTTTGATAGAATTTAAAATTCACGCCTTAATTTGCTTAGTGATGAAATAACCGAACGAAACTAAATTTTCTACTTCTATTTTTCGATTCAATTTTAATCATAGAACTAATAAGCAATTAAACTAGTTGACCATTATAATGACAATAAATACAGAGAAAATCAAAATGGTTCCCTATTTACTAATTTAGGATTGTCATTTTCTTAATTATTCTTTTTAGTAATTTCTTCTTTCCTTTTCATTTACCGTATAAAGTATGAAAAATAAATTCGGATATTTTTGATAGAGTTTTGTTCTCTAAGCTGTATGGTTTAGTTTTGGAGCTTTTATCGTTCTTCTGAACGATATCATCAGCACAAACTTCATATAGAATTGAAGTATTCGAATTTCTTCACATTTGGTTCAAAGCTTGTCCTGTAGACCTCGATGTTGATTGGTTCTTGTTGAAGTTAAATGTTTCATTGTTTATTTCCTTGTTTTGATTGTATCTCCACCAAATATGTGACCAGTATGTGAATTTAGAAGCTTGTCAGAACTAAACTCAATATGGTCACCTTATAAATTATTGGTAATTAGATTTAAATGAGATATTAACAAAATACTTTTAATCCATAGTTTTGATGTTTGAATTACATCGTTTTCCAGTTTGCTATTTTGTTTGATTAAATTTGTCAGAGAAACTTTAGAAGTTCATGTTTATATACACGAAATCAGCTTTTGATGACAAGTCAAATACATTTATATTCAAAGGGTAGTTCCTAATACTGTTTATATTCAAATATACAATTAGAATTCGAAAGCTCAGTATATTATGAAACTCGGTCGACCGGATAACCCGACTGACTGTTTCATTTATGCAGAAAACTCAACCGTACAAAAATATACAGTATTATTTCCCTAAAATAAATACTACAGAATAAGTAACTTCATAAAACAGTTTTAAATAACTTAAAATAAATAGCGATAGGTTAGAAAATGTCAATTTCCTACCATTTTGTAAGTCCTGAATAGTATATCTTTTCACGTGATTTGTTACTTTTCTTTAAGGTAATTATCATTTTCATGAAATAACTTGAACATGCTATTTAAGTATTGTTCAAACTGTGAATATTATCATGTTACTTAGCTGAATTCAAACCTATAATTAGTTTCGCAATGGACTCAAGACGTTTTATTGAGAAATGATGATTAGGAGAGTCCAATCATGTCAGAGACTATTCAGTTATCCACCACTGGATGATAGTTCTATTATTTCATTAGAATTGACGAAATTCAGAAATATAGATCATTG